AGATCCAACAGTAAGCAGCATACTGTAGGGTACAGAGGGATTGATCAGGCAGTCTCTGAGGGGATTACCAGGAAGCAATCTCTGTTCTAGACAGAATCTAGCTGGCAAGACTGGCAGCAGACTCCTCATGGAATAGCCACACTCCACTCCTTGTGACAGACTCTTACAATCTTACATGCCACTTATCCACAAGTTGCCTTGAGTGGTCAAAGGCTCTTTTTTTTTTTTTGTTTGGTTCCCAACCAATCACACTGGTGACACAGTTCACAGCAACAATATACACACATGAATGAAAAAAGTCAAATTAAAACAAGAAATCCAAGTATTAATGATTTTTTTCACCATGCTCCCTAGGACATGGGTTGCCTAGACTTGAGATTGGCTCACTTAAGGTATTTATTTGAGCTTTCATATGTGCTAACAAAGTGGAAACATTAGTAGGTTCATCTGGTATGAAAAACACAACATTCATTTTGGATGATGACACAGGTGCCCTCTGTAACTGGATACCAAAGGAAAAACGGAAATATAAGGTCAGAAAGACAAATATTTACTCGGGGCTTGCATTTGGGAGGTCTTCTCCTTCTTCTCCTTCTATAAGTATGACACTCACAGTTTCATCTTTAGATGTTAATGTAGCTGTGGCCTTGAGAATCTGGCCAGGCTGTATAAATCATATATGTTGGCCAGGGGAGGTGGTGTTTTCTGGCATAAGGAGGTGAATAGGGGGAGAAATATGCCAGATCTTCTCCTTTCTTTCAACTATGTGTGTACCAGTCCAGGTATGGCACATCTCCATGGGTCCAAACTGCATTAGGATGACAGGGTTCTGATTGTATTAGGATGACAAGGTCCCACTGGAGGCTGAGCAGTTCCTCCCCACCCAAGAGAGTAAAGTAACTGACTCATCCTGGTGGAACATCCCCCTGGAGATTTCAACAAATGATCTCCATTCCAGGAACAGTAAGGCTTAGTGCCCACATTATCATAGTTCTTTGGTCCATGGCAAGCATCAGGACTATTCCTGTATCCTTTGTTTTCCACATCTTTACAATAATGCGTGCTCAGTCTGAGTTTCTAATCTGGTATATGGGGCAATAGGCTTCACAGGTTGATCATTTAAATTTATTAATGCTTGGGAAAGCACCTTTGTCCACTCATCCAAGGTAGATTATTCAGTAGTTAGTCTATCTGTTGCTTGTTACCTAAGGACACTATTTTTTTTATCAGCCCAGCTGCTTGTGGGTTATAGAGGAGTCAGAATCTCCATTTAATATTGTGTTATTTTGCCCATTTTTGTATATTATGTCCTTTGAAATGTGACCTCCCTCAGTTACTATATAGTACTTAACTTTTTTAATTCCTTTATGTTAGCAGCCTGATTAACCCACCAACATGTGAAGGCTTGAGTTAAAACAGAGGCAGTGTCAACACACAGCAGAGAATATTTAGAGCCCTCACTCAAGGGCTGAGGGGCTATGTGTTCAATTTTCCAGTCCCTTACTGGTTGGGAGCTTCAACAAACAGACAGACTAGAAGTGAGGCCTTTGCTGACTCCAGAGCCACTGCTTTTAGCTTAAGCTCTAGCACCTCTTATTTAGTTATGTGCCATCCAACCAGGACACTACATTGCCCACTTTTCCAAAGTACTCAATCCGTGGTGTCCACGATGGGTCAGTTTCTAAAGTGCATATTTTGCCAAGGCATCTGCTTTTTGATTACCTGGAGAAGCAGTCCCCTCATGGGTAGGAAAATAAAAAACAACAAGATCTGTCTCGGTCTCTTACAAGCAAACTCAAATATTTTTTTCAAATCCTTTATCCCCATAAATGTTTTCTCATGATCATACACCCGTCTGTTCCCCTTTGTCGAAGCCATAGAGTCAATCTTTTTAGAATGGGCCAGCTGTCAATACACGGCGTCAGAGGCAAAGGTTCATGTGTGATTATCAACCAGACCATTCTTAACTCAGTCCATGGCAGCTGTGATATGTTTCTGTTTCTATCCAAATAGTATCAGTGGATGATTGAAAGGCAACCAGTATCCAGGTGAGTAGATTACACAAGTTAGAGCCATTGGTATACAAAGTACCAACCAGAATTTCCCCTGTAGGTTGCAGGGGCTGACACAGGGATAGGAACAGGAGCATTTGGAGGTTCTATATATTCAACACAGCCAATAGTTTTTGCATCTCTAGGGACAGAGGACTATTTGACAGAGTACTCCTCTGATGTAGGTAGCATGCCATTTAGTCAATGTAGGAGTCCGAGCCATGGCAGAGACCATTTGGTGGAACATGTTGTTGATCCACTCCATGAAAGAAAGAGAAGTTCTTACTATAACTGGGTGTTCTATCAGGATGTATCTGATCTCTACTACAATTGGGATCAAAATCCAAGGGAAACTCACTTCTTTTGCTGTTTTTGCCCTAATGCCCAGCCTGTGCCTTCTAGGATTTCTGAAACATCTAATTCAAATGTCAGCCCAGCCTGTTAGATTCCAAGAGCTTTATCTGTTTGACCAGTAGTTCCGCTTTTTCAAAGGCAACCTGCTGTTTAGCTCACCAATCCTATATATGTCCCTTCTTAGTGGTATAATAGATGAAGGCATTGTGCTAAATGGGATACAAAAGTTCCCCAATACCCCAGAATTCCCACAAAAGCCTCTTCATATTTCTTTGCATGGGCTACGCTTGTATATTTTCTGTGACAGCATCAGGGACACATGGATATTACCCAACCACACAACCCCCAAATTTTTTCCGTGGTGGCTGGGCCTTGAATTTTTTTTGGATTCACTGCCCATTTCCTCTGTTGTAGGTTGTCTAGTAAAGTCTGCAAAGTTTTCTGTAACAGAAGGAAATCTTAACAGGTTAACACTATGTCATCAATATAATGAACTCATTTCACAGAGGTCAGGAAGTAGAACAGTGACAGATCCTGAACCTCCATCCCATAGCATATGGTAGGACTATGTAAATAGCCTTAAGTGAGCACTTGGAAGGAATAATCCAAGTGGGAAACACATTTTCTAACAGTTTCTTTGCCACTGTGAGAGTTAACAGCCTTGAAGCATGAGAAGTCTTCAACCCATGCAGAAAATATACTAAGCGAAAGTTGAATGAAGTCCAGTTTAAATACACTATGATGCATGAACGAATGTAAAATCAATAAATGCAATTTTCCAAGGAGCCTGTAAGAATAAAGTGGTCATCTTGGTTTTCCCATAGCCTTGAATATTCATTTAATTTATAGACATGGTATACCCATTTTAATTTCTCTGATTCAGGAGCAGATTGTTGCCATGTTCACAAAATATCTGGATGGCAAAAGTCTAACAATGAGGAATGAATTTGCAGAAACAGAATGGACTTCATCCATATGTGCTATAATATGATACTAACATTCGATTCTTTTTAGTACGTGCCTCAATTATGGCAACAGACATCATATGCCAGGACATCTCATATTTCAAGGAACCTTACATAATTTCTATTTTTATAACACATACGTATATAAATACAACATAAAGAAGGTTCAATGTTTTGGGGCTTTTTTGACAATGCTTCCTATGTAACTTCAACACATGAAATAAGCCTAGTTTAATAATTTTTATAAAGAGAGAAAAGAAATATATCGAGATACTGCAAGGGCCCTCTGAAACACCCCAAAGCCATTTCCAGGTCAAGAAAAAGACTAATTGTACATTAGCTTACTTTAGATACTTAAGTTTGTGTACTTAATTAAATTGATTATAATCTTATTCAGTTCGACTACACAAAATTTCCCTTCTCAAGATAACTCATCACAAAGCTTTTATACCTTTCTTTATACACTGAGATTTTCTCCTGTTTTTTTTTCCTTTCTCTTTCCCATTCTGAAACAACCAGCCTTACATAAGGAAAAAATTGCTTTCTTTTCTCTCAAAAATACATTTTTATACCTTATACCTTCTTTTACTAAAACATATTATTGAGCTCGAAGTTGTTTCCATTATTATTCCTAGTAATTTTATTTTATTTATTTTTTTAATGAATTTGTTTTTTTATGGTGACATTGCTTAACGAAATCCAATAAGTTTCAGCTGTATACTTTAACAGTAAGGCATATATACTGTGTGTTCACCTCCCATAGTTAGATCTCTTTCTGTCACCACATTCTTGACCCCCTTTACTCCATCTACCTCTATCTGCCCCCTCCCCGCTCCCTTCTTATAACCATTAGTCTATTGTCCATGTCCATGAGTCTCTGTTTTAAACCTAACTTCTTAAACTCAACAATAGTAATCTTCTAATAGGCCTTTTGGCTTCTAAATTCAGATTCTTACATTCTATTTCTGAGGGACTTTTTCCCAGTTGAGGAGGGGAAAATTGCCTCTTTACAATCTTTTTTTCTCCATTCTTTGTCTTTTTAACCTCTAATATAGTATTCGAGCCATGAATAGTAATATCTACAGTATAAGAGAATGAAAACTGTCAGTCCCAGAGTCATACCTCAGTCTGACATATGGTCCCTCTAGAGACAATATAAAATACCAACTGTATCAAAACACGGTGTTTTTCCAGAGTTGATTTAGCGTGCCCTTTTTTTGAGCAACTTTAGTCAGGGTCCTCAGAGGAGCAGATCTTACCAGAAGTTTTGTGATTGGTATCTCTTTATCAGTTGTGAGTTAAAGCTAGAGCTTAAAGAATGGGGCTACCATCACTTAATTGTCACAACCTATTGTAAAGAACCATTACTAATGTATAGTACCATTAAGAGTGTGGCAATTATGAATTATTAAAGTATTTGTCTTTAGAGTTACTTCATTTTCATTTAATTCATAAACATTTATGAGGGATGAGTAAGCAAAATGAATTATATATTCATATTGTCTATAAGCAAGAATGATACAATGAAAAAATTTGCAGTAGCATACAATGTAATTATATAAATTTTACCTACGTATTTGCTGCCTTTTGAGTAAATGTGGGGCAGAGAATCAGAAAAAAAAATCCAGATATGCTCACTTGGGCAGCACATATACTAAAATTGGAACAATACAGAAAATTAGTTAGCATGGCCCTGTCCAAGGATGATACACAAATTCATGGAGTGTTCCATATTTTTTTAATCAAGATTACTTCTCAGCATCAAAGCTTAATTTTTAAAAGTGAGATTGAATGCAGTTATTTTCCTTATATAAAAATGAAAATCTTTAATATATTTAGATGGATGAACAAATTTCTTATATGCTTTGTAAAACTCTTTAGGGAATAGTAAGCCCAAATAAAGTCTGATGCTATTTGCATTTGTTTCCTAAAGTTCTTTTGAGTGTTGTCAAAATCTGGCCTTGCCAAAGAAGTTTTGGAAAGAGGTAATGGTACTGGTTGTGTAACAGTGTGAGTGTACTTAATGCCACTGAACTGTACACTTAAAAATGGTTAGGCTGGCAAATTTTATGTTAAATATATTTTATACAGTTTTTTCTTTTTCAAGTGGCCTTGCCAGGGTGATTGGTATAGTGGTTAGCCTTCTAAAGTGGCCTCGCCCATAGAGGTGTATCACACATATGAACATCTGTCATGAGTCATGGCTAAATAAATTAAAATACTGATAATTGCCAACTTGGAAAAGAGAAATGTGAACAGTTTGAAGTGGTAACCACCATATTCAAAATGATACTGTGAAATGCCAGAATTTTATGATTATGATAACTTCCATCAAATGATTTAAGTATTCGAAGGCAGTGAAACCAAATGACCTCCAATATTTCTCTCTTCCTGGAGATTCTTTGAATTTGTAAATAAACCTTGCTTTCATTAGTTTAAGTAGGGGGTTGAAAACCTGTGGAAACAACCCAAATGTCCCACAACAGTTGAATAAAGTATATACACAATGGGATATTATGCAACCTTTTAAAAGGAAGAAAATTCCAATACATGTGAAAACATGGACCGTGAAGACACGCTAAGTAAGCCAGTCAGTCACAAAGGTTTAGATACCGGATGATTTCACTTATATGAGGTACCTAGTGCAGTAAAATTCATAGAGACAGAAAATAGTGTGGTTACCAGAGGCTGGGGGTATTCC